CGCGATTCGCGATTGAACGTGAAACGCGCGATTACTCGAAGGCAGTTGCAATTCTCGAAGTATCGAACGAAGTAGCGCACTTATAGCAGTAATTTTCCCCTAGAAGTAAAATTTGGAATATTTTAATAAAAATATTGGAATTTGATCGAAATAACGCTGATTGCTATAAAATAAGGAAAACGTAATCAGCGCAGATAATTATAGAATGAAATATATATATACATACCTGAGGGTTTATGCCAAACCTGGATATATAATGCGAAATATGGGAGGACAATATTTCTCTCGGTCGATTACAATTATACAATACCGAGAAATCGCGTAATAATGATTATATTATATTTAACGTATATTACGACGTACGCCTAACTTTACAAGAGATATTCGCGATACTTTATCACACGCGAAATACACTTGAGAACGATAATCATCGCGAGATTTACGGATCGAAATGACTGCGACTTGCCGCGATTCACGAATGACCGTTATTCAAAATTCTAGAGTCGATCAGATGGCGTTATTTCAATTCCCGAAGTATCATCAACGTGGCGCGCGAATTAATAGTTATTTAAATTCAAAATATATTCTAATAAACATTTAAAAAATCATTAAAATGTTGAATTAATTGCCGTAATTTGTTCAATATACAGAATTTTGTAATATTAGAAATAATATTAAAATAACGAAGCGCGATTTCAAAATAATGTTAAAAGAAAACTTAAAAATTATAAATTAACCTATACAATGTTAATTAACGTCATATAAATATACAAATTTATATCATATACAATGCAAATGCAGTAGATTCAGAATTTAATGTACTATAGCTTTTACTTTCATTCAAGGAATAAAGAATTCAGAATTTCGATGTCATGCAGCATAGTCTTTATTTATATACGAAAAAAAGTCATCCATAGAGATATGTTGCTGGCGTCATTTACAATATGTCTTAGACGTATATTATATTTTTTTTCAAATCTCATTTATCGTCCATTATATTATATAAAAATGGTCGTTACACTATTGCGATAAATATCGTTGACTCTTTCGATTAAATTAGGAAGCAAGCACATGGTTATGTACATATAATCGTTCTCGTAGTATTGTAAAATTTCGTTTAATAAAAAGCATAATTAGAGACGTCGTCGTGCATTATGATCTTATATCGTCCACAAAATATTTAGAATCCTTAAAACAAACTAGTTATTTATCTTCTTTTATATCTTTCCAGAGCAAAATGTGTTCTTTCTTCAATTTCGTATTAAAAAATATGAAGATTTTTTTTCCCCTAATTTGCTAACGTCTCTATGTATACTTTACATTTGCTCATAGGTATACATTTGACAAAATAAATACGGGATCGATTCTTTAAAAAATATATATTACAATATTGCACTTAAGGTAAATGTACACGATAAAACGCGTATAAAATATACAATGAGTTCCTCTATCGAGGCACTAACGACAAGGAACACAGAAGTGTCACATAGTACATGTATGGTTGTTTGTGCACAGATTTTTAATGTCTTTGCATTTACACGATTTTATTTTATCATATGTCTTAGGCGTCGTATCTTCAACTTTACATGGAGGAAATTTAAAAGCCTAAAATATACATAGGTATATCCACAAGGAATATTATTTAGCAGTGATGTGTTTGTAGTAATAAGATCAGAGATATCTCTTCTTCAAAAATAATTATATATATATATCAATATCTTTTGAGTTAAAGTACATCAAATTTAACACAATTATTGTGCTCAAAAGAACATTGCATTTTTTAAATATATCTTCTTCATATATCCTCTAAACTAAAAAAGTAGATATACCTGCAAATATTTTAATGCAATCGATACATGGACAAGCATACACCACATGTGTGCACATAATTATACATAGATATATTTTTGTTCGTAGCAAGTCGCGACTATATAGTTACAATGTGATTATTGAGTCGGTTATTAAGGCGGACAAATAAGATTCTCGCGTTTTACTTCAATCGTTTTATCCTTTGGATATAATTAAATATCGCATTTGTTGTTCGAAATTCCATTACTGTATCCACGACAAAAGTTAGACAACTGTATTGGTTACTACTAGTTATATTAGCCAACAGCATAGTTCAATATAGTATGGTGCTGATAATTGGCAATCCATTTACACTTAGAGCATAAATGGAGACATTTTATTTAAATGATCTTTTCGCTTATTACAACCATAATACAGTTGGCACATCATCGTAAATTATTTCATAAAAATAATTACATTATGTTTAAGACGGAAAGATATTCACAATAATATACAAATAGTACGCTTCATATAATTATTTGAATGATATAATCGTGATTTATTACTTAAAAAGGCGAATAAAAAGAGAAATGGAAAAAAAAATTGAAATTTCATATATTAGAAGTTTTAAATAAAATTCACAGTTACAATTTCTCTCATATCTCGTGATATAAAGTTTAAAAAATACATACATATAGAATATGTATATATTTAGATTACATCTTTAAGAGAGTTTTAACTTATAATATATGAAAACTTTAATAACAAGAGAAAAGCTTAACATAAAATATAATTTCATATCATCACAAAAGTTAAAATCGATTAAATAAAAAATCTGAATTTATTTTACAATGATGAATCATTTTCGCTCAAAATTTATCACTGAAATATTAGTAATGTATTGTATTGGGAAAAAAAGTCTGTGGCACATAAGTGCACAGTGTGCAACTATTTATCCGTATATAAATGTAATATATGTAGAAGTTTAGAGTTTCAAAATAACATAATTCATTGTGTTCTAGGCTAACATCTTATTCATTTGTGCTTTTTATATACATCTATAAACTTATTCGTTATGTATTGTTCATGTATTGTTTGTGATTGCTAAATATTAGTAATTTGGAATAATGGATGGAATGAGAGTATTGTCGATTAAAAACTAGATATATGTATATTACATTCATGAGTTCTCTCACTTTTCAACTCGAGATGTCCATTATTCACATCTTGAAATTCATGAATCATATGTATTTTATATAAAACATATATTATATCTTACTGAGAAGCACTAACTGTGATTGCACAAATTATCATTATATAAATAAAAACGCACAGCTATAAACATATAACTAAGAGCAACAAACGCAAAACATCATCACTAAATAATCCTGTCTTGTATACTTAAATGAAAGAATTTAACGTAACAATTATCTCACATATTTGTATCTGAGCGACTAGTTTTCCACTGATGTGTGTGTTTCTAGCTTCGCCATTCTGCTATGTCTTGCCCATTATATAAAAGGGATATATGTATTTGAATATAGTTCTTTATATTGATAGAAATGATGATAGTCTATATTTCTGCAACTTCAAGCTTTCAAGCCATGCTATATGCAAAGCTATTGCAATGTTCTTGTGACTGTCATTCTGAAATATGGATAGCAATCTTGAGACTGTGGTCGATCAGTGGTATCACATTTGTTCCAGATATTAAGAACTAAAGTCTTTTCATGCATCCGTATTAAATAGAACAGTATATAACAAGTACATGCAATAAGCTTATTGCAGTTAAATTGTATGAAAATACATTTTGGAGATTACTCTCTTAGAATACAGTTCGATAATTATATATAGCTCATACATTCTTAAATCTTGAATATATATCCTATCTTCGTTATGAAGGCCACTCAAAAGACGGGACATGATAGGATTTCGCTATTTGAAACTAAATATTATAAATTGCCATATATCTTAGCAACAATAAGGAAAACAGAGAGATCATGTAAATATTATTTTAAAATGTGTAAACTAGTAAAATAACGTCCGTTGTATATTGTAAATATTTTATCACATGTTTCATTGTAATAATCTCATATTTAGCACCTTATCCATAACTGTAAAAAATGACGAAGCAAGATAATACAGTATGCGTCGATTTGCACAGAAAAGAATTTTAAAAAATTCGTGATTTATTATTATGTTTCAGAAAGTAAAAGTGCAGTTATATAAGCAATACATTCTTAGCACAGCAAATGTAATATTTTAATAAATTGTAAAAGATCTCTTTAAAATTATTATTATTTAGTTTCGCTTCTTCACACAAGCCATATTGATCAAAATTTTCGTATGAAATATATTTGGTGTGGCACGCAATCTCAATTATTCTATTAGATATTTATTGTGATACATACTATCTCATGAATATCAGAATTTTAAAATAATTTAATTGAATATTTTGTAGCGAGAATCCTCTTTCAATTTCGACATATCTAATTCTAGTCATGTGAGTGAGATTATTACATATACATATTGTATTTATGAGAATAATACCTGTGTTGTAGCAGAGTATATTGAATAATATTTTCATATATTCGAGTATGTATCTCCCTTCAGTCTTGAAAAATCGTTTCCAGAGTAAATAGTACATAAAGCATAGATCAATATATCTTAAAACTGAAATGCAGCAATACAGTAATGTTATATGTCGATGGAGCAAGATCGATAGCATTGCGAACGTTTAAATATATATCATAAAATATGAAAATTCATAAGCTTTAATAATAATTTGATAAGAACTTAAACATACAAAATAATATGTATACAATTGAGCGAAACTTTTAAATCAATAATAGTACTCTCCGTTCAATTTTTAGATATCTAGAAAAATATTTCACAAACTTATAAATTGTTACATTTTCCACAAATATTAAACGAGAATACAAAGTGAGTATAGATCTATTAATAGAGCATGTTCATGTGGTCTACATTTCAGATCATTTTTCATAATTTCATTCCTTATAAGAAACACGTCTATAAATAACCAAAACAATCAATTACATTATTTACACAGAAAATATCACTTCTATAACAAGATTTTTTTTTATTTCATTTATATATATATATAATTTTCAGAGATTTATAACACACACATATATATATATATATGTTATAAATTTTGAAAATTATTTAAAATGTGTACTCTGAAACAAATATATAAATCATAGTACTATAATAAAAATATAAAAATTATAAAAATTGCATTAGATTTTAAATATTTGAAATAATAACCAATAACAATATATAAAATGTTTTTGCATAAAGACTCAGATTTTCTTATCACAATAAGAAAAATTGTAATTCAATTTTCTATACCTTTCGATACTAAATTATGCAGAAAATTGTATCAACATTTGCTGAAACGTTGTCGTCCCAACAGTAGTAGACATTTGGCTAATACTGTTGAATAAAGATTCTGCTTGTAAATTCTCTGGCAATCTAGTAAGAAACTGTGCACCATGTACAAAGTCCATTTTCAACAACTCTTCCTGATACAAGTGCAATACTCCCAGCGCTGTTCTGAAGAGGAACTCATCTCCATCTCTGAGAAAGACATCCCAGACTCTACATGCAACATCAAGAGGCATTGCTTTGGCATATATAGTATATAACCAATCTAATAGATATAAATCTGGACTTAATCCAGCTACAGTGAAATGGGAAAAGACTTTTGGCAGCTTATGCGCAAGAGCACTGGAATATACCTTGTAATAAGTGTTCATTCTTTTTTGGTCCAATGTAAAGGCGGCTCTGTGACAAGGATAATTTAGCAAATTCGCGAAGCAAGCAAAGGCGTCTGATGGTTCCATGTTTAATGATAGCACAGCACCAACAAAACTCATTCCTTGCACGTAGCCTACATCTGGTCTGTATACGGCATATGCTGCCAAAATACCCTGAAGGCTATTGGATAATGGTCCACCCTCTTGAAAGACACATAAGGTAGGAAAGGTACGAGATACATCTAATCTGATTGCAGCTAATGACTCATTATTTGGGCTCGACATTGCTCTCTCTAAGCAAAGATTATAGAGATGCGGCGTTATATTTAAATTATTCGAAATCGCTAATTTCCATACTCTACCACGTACACTCGGCGGTAAACCACGCCACCATAGCTCCCTTACTTTCTTTGTATTCTTAACACTTTCGAATTTAGGTAAGACATACACATTCCATGTATTAGAATCCTCGGCTAATCTTTCTTCTTCTTTTAGCTGATACTCTCGTTGCTGCTTACGCTCTTTCTCTTCGCGCAATTCTCTTTTCCTCGCTGCTTCTAAAATAGCAGTGTATTGCTTACGGTGTCGTTCTTCTTCCAACAAATTTTTAGCTGGTAAATTTGCTGGTCTCGGCTGTTGAATTAAAGCTGTACTACCGCCTACCTTGTCTATATTTCTTGATGGACTACCAGTAGGTGTCGACTGTTGAGAATCCCGATTTTTCCATGAAAACACATTCTTTGTAAAAAGTGAGTTTAATCCCCAACGTTTAGATGCTTTTTCGCTTTTTTCCACAAGATGTTGCTCGTCAGATCCCAGGAAGCTTCCTGACGGTGATATTTCGCTAAGGGAAGACACTGTGCTACTACACGACCGTGGCAGGCTATTCCTTGGGCTGCTGTTTGCACTGACATTCTCGAGCTTCGTATATTTGTCCGTTTCAGGTTTGCAGGATCGTTCCTTACCATTACACGGAGATTCCAAATACTGAGAAGTAGAACAGTCGATTTGTGCATTGTTGGGAGTTTTAGCTTCCTCTACAGAATACAGTTGCTTCGTGGAAGGATTGTAAGCCAAGGACATGCTTTCCAGGGCATGATTCAGACTGGTTCCCGCTACCCCTACAGAAACCACGTTACCCGCGTCGTACCACTTGTTCTCCCTGATGTGCACGCACAGAGCCTTGGTCTTCGTCGCCGGTATGGGCGCCACATCGCACGCCAGGGCCTCGTCGACGTTGACGCTGTCGCAGCGCACCGAGTCTCCGTTTAAGGACACCAACTGCTGCTTGCCGACCTTTGGCGCGATGTTACTGGCGATATAGCAACCGGACTCGCGTCCAGCAACCTTCACCATTTGGAAACTGTTGGCAGCATTATTGTAGCGTGACTTTACGCTTTCCCCCGACACTTGGAGGCTCTGTGACGGGACGGGAATTGACGCGTTGGTGCCATTCAAGCGTGGGGACGTTGCGGGACTCTTCATAGCTGGTCGCAATCTCCTAACCTCTCGTCCAGGTCGCCTCTGATCGAGGTGGATGGTCGTTCGCGCGTCGAAGGAGTCGACGCGAGATTCATGAATCCGTACATGCTTCCTTATCGATTATCAAGGGTCTGCAAAGGGCCAGCATGGAAAAGGACGGTTCGTTTCGATGGTCCAATGATATGTCGACTGCTACGCAGACCGTAGAAATCCGTAGGTGATTCTCAATCCAGCGACTCCTAGAGCAGACGGTACGATCGGTCACTCCAAGTGTCACGCGCACGTCACATATTTGTAATATTCTACCTCGGTCTCGCCCCGTAAAATCGTTATTTGAATTCTATATCCAACGGATAAGATACTCGTCGGTCGCGTCTAAAAATACAGCATCCGATAATATCGGATGCGAGGCAGGAATGAGAGGATCGAATATATATAGTCACAAACCGCAGCAAAAAAAAATCACGCTCTTTGAAATTAGTCGCGAGATCAAAGAATCGCGTGCCTCACTGAAAACACTATTGCACACTAAAGGCTGATATATATGAAATTATCCAACGACAAAAACGTAACCAAAAGGTTTTATCGAAATGAAATAATTACGACTTGTATTCTATTAAATAATGCGATGCATGATTATAATATTTGTCGCGAAAGAAGCTAATGATATGGAAAAACTGTATTTTTTGCGTTGCGATAATGTCTTTAACTCATTCTTGATTGAAACGTTGGCGACACTGGAGCAGGGAGGGGTGTCAAATTCAATACGAAAACGGATGTTTGAGAGATATGAATGATGATATGTTTGAATCTCTGGTTCGTAATTTCTGACTGAAGAGTATTTTATCACGGGACTTATATAATTCTACGCTGCATTGGAGTATCAAAAATGTTGATCTATGATGTGTTACATAAAGAAAAGGTGTATCATATTGTCGCCAGGGATCTTAGAAGCTTCGGAGTTAAATATCGCTTCAAGAAGAGTATGCTTAAGAGCGAGAGACCCGAGGCATGCAAAAATATTTCTAAGAGGGTCTTCAAGACTGCCCTGTTTTATCAGCCTTTGGATATTGTGAATTTGTCATCAGGTGCCATAGTTCATGTTCCTGTATTTGTGATTCAGGCCTCGACATTCCTAGAGAAGTATATTACTCAGGAAGGCCTCTTTAGAAAAGCTGGCTCTCAGGCGCGACAGAAGGAATTGATGTCTCGTCTGGATGGCGGTGGCAGTTTAGGCGAGAAGAATTACGCGATTGATGTCGCTAATTGCTTAAAATCTTTCTTTCGTGATTTGCCAGAGCCATTGATTCCATATACGTATCACGACTTGTTTGTGCACTGCGCATTGCTCAAGAGTTATCGGGTGCAGGCATTACTGTTAGCATGTGTACTATTACCGCCATATCACTTAAACACTCTGGCGTTTTTCATGGAATTTTTAAAAAAAGTTTCCATGTACGAAAAACAAAACAAGATGAGCATTGAAAATTTGGCGAAAGTTGTCGGACCAAATATTATGCCATTGCACGATACATCCATGTCAGCTGTACAGAACAGACTGCAAATGCATTTAACTATTATTAAGGTAATAGTGTTTTTAAGAATATTGATAGATTGCACATACAAGTAGATGTATCATTATTTAAAAAGGATTTATTTCACAGATTCTGATTGAAAATTCGGAAAATATTGGTATCTTGCCTCCTCATATTGCCCAAAGTATTTCTATTGAAACAAGCGGCAGCACGGATAATGGATTAGACTCCTTTGAACATGGAAATCCTAAAAAGAAGAAGCATCGTAGTGGAAGTCTTACACGTAAGCTATATTGCATATATATACAAAACATTTCTACATACTGATAAACATTAATCAGATTTATAATGCCAATTAAATATTAACAAGACTAATAAAATATATAATATTATCTTCTATAAAGTAAAATAATACAGAAAGAGAAAAATATATATATATATATATAATTTAACAGAAGATACTAATAGAATTGATGAATCAATATAGACTTTTTTATAGCATACATATAATAAGAGATAATATATTATTGTTATTATATTTATTAAATATATTGTATACCTTGCATTTTTTCTACAGGAATGTTTAATGGTTTGAAGAAAATGGTTGGAAAAGGCACAGATGATACACCTAATATAAATCATCTGCATCCTGCTATACATCCAGTACTATCTAATATATCTCCAAATAAATTTACCAAAAAACGGAAAGTAGCTGAAAGAGAATATCCTCCAAGTATAAAGAAAAAGTATGCAATAATTAATTGCAGTTTTTGCTATTATCTTTGCAAATATTTTTTGTTTTCTTTTTTATATATGTATGTATATACATTATTTTAATATCTATATAATTTATTTATATACATATTATTTTTTCAAAATAATATTAATTATACACATAAATTTAACATGTCACATATATGTTTTAGGAGAGTGACTGAAAAATTGGATAAATCGAAAAAATTAAGACTGAGTTTGGACAAATTTGTACCTAAGAATAAGCAAGTAAGTAAATGTGCTTCTATATTTGTGTGTGTGTGTGTGTGACATATCAAAAATTTATTTAAATCTCACACAATATCAGTAAATATATCTCTTGTAAATTTAGAGATCTGTAAAATTAAATAGTATTATACAGCTTCTATATTAATAACTTTGATGATATATTTTTAGAAGAATGCTGATGATGATTTATCGGATTTATATATGAATAATTACAAGTCGTGTAGTGAAAGACGTTGGAGTTCAGTAAGCAATTCTTTTACATATAAAATACGTAAATATAACGGTAAAATAACACATTTAAAATCAATAAAATATGACAAACTATTAAATAATGATTTTCAGCAAGAGTACGATGATATATTTATTAATGCCACTGTGGATTTATCAGATAATGGTGGCGAGCAAAACTTGCTTATAAATGAAAGTCATTGCAAAAATGATGAGCAATGGCATATGAATATAAGTACACATTCAAGAAAATTGGATGCTACGGATGAAAGCAATAACATTTGTTTGATGCCTGAGGAAAAGACTGATTCGGAAGAATTTAATGCACTTTCCAATGCTGACACAATATCTTTATCAAGTGATCACTGTGAAGAAGATTATGTCAGAATTTCTAAGAGAGAATATGAAGAAATAAAAAATCGAGTTTCTGCAATCGAGTCGCGTATTTCTCAAGAATTTGGATGCATATATGATGAAGAAAATAATATGATTACACATTCGGTAAATAAAGTACAAACAGCATATGAGAAAACATTAGAAGAGGCTAGTATCGAGAATACTTTAACAAGCGATTATTTAGCAAAGAAATTGAGTAAGGAATTAAAAATTAGAAGATCAAGAGAACATAAAATAATAAGATCTCCTAGTGCAAGAAAAATTGGTTCATTAAGAAGACGTTCACAGGAGAAAGTCACAAGGTACTTCTGGATTATGCTTAATTTTTTATAATTTTTCTTTAATATTATATAATGTAAATGATGATCGTAACTATATTATATATATTCTAAAATCTTATAATAATTTCTCTCTCTCTCTCTCTCTTTCTTTCTCTTTATGAAAAAAAATATAAGATTGCATCAGAAAAAAAAATTGAAATAGTATATAAAGATAATTGATTAGAATAAAAGAATTATTTGATTATATTATACATTTTATTTTATTTACAGCAAACGTGTTAGACGCACTGCATCATGGCATATTTCACCAGAATATAATTTACAGCACCATGCTCAATTCGAAAGACAAGTAAATGTTTATCCCATTGAAAAACAATCAAATTTATTTTCTAATAAATATTTAGAGGAACAGCCCTATTCTGCAGACAGATGTAATGGAATTATTTCTAATAATATGAGAGACGAGATAACATGTTTACGTAATCAGATGAATGCATCGATTTCAGCAGAACAATACAAAATTTCAAATAATGATTTGAATCTTCCTGGATTTAAAGATTTACATTTGACGAATAACTGTACAACTTCATATGTGCGTAGAGCATCATCTTTTCATGGAAAAGACTTTGTAGATAATTCATGTTATTTTGATAAAAAAATAGATGACTTAAAAAAGACCAACAGTCATCAGAACATAGCCTTAAATAATGATTGTTTACAAAGAGACAATATTGTTTCCGAAGGCTCAAAGGAAATATCTTGGAAAGATGCAGATAAATATTTTCAATCAGCATCTCGAACAAACACGCCTGCTCCACAAACTGGTAGGGCATCAGTCGCAAAGCTTCGAACGCAAAATGCTGGTATGGTGCTAGCCAAAGCGAAATTATTTGATGAATGCACAACGAAAACGTCCGAGTTTCCTTCTGCCAATGTATTAAACAGAAAACAGTGTGGTAATAATGCAAATAAACATTCTCGGAATACAGTTAAAGAAATAGATGTAAGCACTGAACATTTTAAGCAATCATGTAAAAGGACACAAGTTTCTCGAAAACATTCTAATAAGGATTTGAAAAGTAAAGTACTATCTCCAAATGCGTCGGTACAAATCAAAACACAAATAATGGATGCATCATTGAAACCACTTCAAGAACGAGTAGATAAGAATTATCGTTCTGCACAAAAATTCGAATTACAAAATCAGAAACTTTTGAATAAAGATCCAATTATACATCAAACTTTTGCTAAAGATAAAGGAATTAATGTTACAGATAAAACGGAAATTCGTCAAAAAGAAAATATTGCTACAAAAACATCGCCATTGACAAAAATGTCTATCAATACAATGCTGGAGAATTCAAATATGTCTCCGTATAAGTCAGATGTTAACAAAACGCCACATATTAAACGACCTTTAACAGTAAAGACTCCAAAAAGTTCTAAATTGGTGCGAAGAGCTCCAGTTGATACACGTAGAACACCATTGAAAGCAACAGCACAATTAGGAACTCCAAAACGTCAAAGCCCTAAAAGTATCTTGAAAACAAAAACTCTCAGTATGCATACATAACAGATACACATATTATAATCATAAATATTGTATGTTGAATTCATATTATTCTCATATATACATATGTTATTTTAAGAAATTATACAATTTTTATACATATATATATATTTTTATAAGTATAATATCCGTTTTATGGTGTTCCTAGTATATTAAATACATTAATATTAACAGAATACGCAGAAGTTAGTGAAAGGATAAGAATAGAATGTAGAATCACAAATAAAAATAATAGTTAATACATAAATGTTTAAAGTCATAAATCATCATAATTTTAAACCAATGACTGTATAAACATGTGATATATAAAGAGATGCCTTTGTGAATTTATATTTTTCCATATTTTACAGTTAAAGACTCTGAAAACAATGAAATTGTTATTTGAAATATTTTTAAGAAGCTAGTCATTGCATATATCCGCCTTTATTCACATATGTCCTTATTATATGCATTATCATTCACATGACAAATTCAAATCCATTGTAATATTTATATTGTTGCTCATTAACATGTAATACAAATCATCATAATTGACATTTGACTTGTGAATGTATCTATTTTACCATAACATTAATTAAATCGTTATTTTATTTATATATATTTCTTTGCTATTTTTCGCTAAAAAAAGAATATATCTGCATCGCTCCCGCCCCTTTTTAAATGTTTACAATAACATACATATGACAGCATGTCTAATGAAAGAAAGAATCATCATTATCCACGTGGTTCAACGCAATATTAATCATTGACGCATGACCAATCACGTGGCACCGCCGGCCTTCGCTTACTGTCAAATTAATGGTTGATATTTCGCGTCTTATGCGAGTAAAATTAACGATAAGATTAGGGCTTCAAAATCGTAATATTATATTACTGTATTGTTTGCCTCGAGGTTTTCGTGTGTAAAAAAAAAAAAAAGAAAAAGACGAAGACACCTGCGGTATCCTCCAAAACGAATTATTTGTGTACATATACGGCGGGGTTAGGATAATCGAAGATTATCGTAACGATATCAGCGCCACGTTTTAACACCGAAACTCGTTTTGGTTACAGCTGTGAGGTACGAAACCGTCGTAAAATTCTCTGTGTGACAAGTGTCAGCTATATCTTTCTCTTTTTCGGATATATAAACGCGACTTTTTGCTAACTGACGAGAGAGAATATTTTCAGCACGAAAATGAGGGAGGCTGGAATTATGCTGATAAGCACCGCGCTAACGTGCGTTGTTATCGGCAATGCGTATTATCAAAGAAAACAATTCTATCCGACCGTTGTTCACATAACCAAATCCAATCCGAGCATGACCGTGAGTTTTTTTTTTCGTAACGTGACATTTCTGATAAGCCACACGACTACCGTGTGCTTATTACCATTACATATGTATTGCTTTGTACTCAGGTGATTTACGCGCAAGGATTCATACTCGCGTTCATGATAAACGCCTTTCTGCGTAAAATCTTTTTCGGTACCTTACGCGCTGCCGAGCTCGAGGTGAGTCCCTTGAACTCTTTCTTAACTTTTCTTAACTGTTTATCGATTTTTTCGCATAATGCTATTTATTCTTGTTTGCAGCATCTGGTAGAAAAAGTGTGGTATGCGGTGACGGAAACATGCTTAGCATTTACAGTGTTCAGAGATGATTTCAGTCCTAAGTTTATAGCGTTATTTACTCTCCTCTTGTTCTTGAAGTCATTTCACTGGCTTGCAGAAGACCGTGTCGATTATGTGAGTTAAATTTCAAATCATTATACTTGAAATATTCATGTGTATCAAATACATATGATTTTTATTGTACGTGGCAAAGTTATTTGTAATTATCTATAAATATCTAAACATACATATTTGACTAATTTATGTCCTGTTATTTAGATGGAAAGAAGCCCAGTAATCACATGGTTATTTCATCTCAGAGTTGCTACTTTACTAGGACTTTTATTTGGCATAAATTTAACAATGATTCATTATGCATATAATACAACAGCTACTAAAGGACCTTCTGTACAACTTGTATTTGGTTTTGAATATGCAATTTTACTGACTGTTGTTTTTAATATCACTGTAAAATATGTATTACACACTATTGATCTACAGAGTGAAAATCCATGGGATAACAAGCCAGTATTTTTGTTGTATACAGAATTGATTATTGGCTTATTAAAGGTAATTGATCTAATATAAGAATTTTGTCATAGTTTGTAATTTGACATATATATATCTTGTGAATTGAAACAATTGTTTCTCTTGCAGGTTATCCTCTATGTTGCCTTTGTGACTTTAATGATAAAGTTATTCACATTACCTCTATTTGCATTGCGTCCTATGTATTATACAATGCGTGACTTTAAAAAAGCATTTCATGATATTGTAATGTCACGAAGGGCCATCAGGAATATGAATACACTTTATCCAGATGCAACAACTGAAGAATTAGCTGCTGCTGATAATGTCTGCATAATATGCCGGTAAGAATATTGCAAGTAAAATTATCTCATAATGTCTTTAATGTGGCTTAATGTGTGTATATTAAACTGATACAGGGAAGAAATGGTTGCAGCTAGTAAAAAATTGCCATGCAATCACATTTTCCATACTGCTTGTCTACGTTCTTGGTTTCAACGTCAACAAACATGTCCGACGTGCCGTTTGAATATTTTGCGACCTACACCGAACAATGCACCACCAAGGCAACAAAATCCTCCCCAGCCAGGACCGCAGGCGCCTCCTCAACCTCCACAAGCACCTGGTGGCAATCCCCCTATTGGTATGATTTTATATTTGTTAGATTCGAGTTTTATATATGTGAAAAATATTCATTTTTAATCTAATTTCTATTATTTAAAATATATAGGGCCACCATTACATTTCCCAGTATTTTGGGCTGCAGCAGCAGCAACCACCTCAAAATAATGCTGGAAGTACGCCTCCACCTCAAAGTATACCACCTACTGGAAATATACCGCTTTTCCCGCCACTATTTCCTGCAATAGTGCCATTACCACCTATTCCTGTACCACCACCAAATTTAACTGAACTAAGTGAAGAAGAGCTTAGAGCGATGGAAGGTAATTTGCGACAAGCTGTTCAGGCCAGGATACAAACGTTGCAAAGAATTCAACTTTTACTGGATGCAGCCAATGCAATGATGAATCAATATCAAACAGTGGCTGTTACAGCTAAGTGAGTGTGTAATCTAAATTATGCATTTTATAAACATTTATATATAAATAATATGATTTGAAATTACAGCATTCCTGTGCATAACAGTTCTGCAAGCAATATCGATAGTACATTGGATACGTCTACAATGACAAAACCAAGTACAAGCAATATAGCGCATGCAAACGCTGAGATCACTGGCGAAAATTCTCAGGTTAAAACGGAAGATACTCCTATTCCAAGTACATCTAAAGAAAATACTTCTTTTCCAAGTACATCAAAAGAAGACGTTTCTACATTTAACGAATCTACCGATATGCCAGATTTGTCTAGGACTGAGACGGAATCTTCGAACGAACAAGAAACGCTGCGCAGACGTAGATTACAAAAATTTTCACCTCCGCCAGCAACAGAATAAATAAAAATAAAATTGTGTGATAAAGATTATGTAACATAATAGTCTTTAATTTGGTTAAATATCGGCCTCAATTAATTCAAACAATTAATAATTGAGGACTGTAACAACTAAAGTTTGGATTTTGTGATCGATATGAGAGAATTGAATGATATTTGAATTAGTCAGTCAATCTGTTAAGGAAAGATAGAAATCATTATAAAGAATTCTCTAGCGATTGTTAAATCCAAGACTTAGTAATAACTGAGACTGAAAGCTCGAGACTCAAATCATAAACTGAAGTTAAAATATCAGCATTCATGAACATGTGAAGAATTATTTTTTAATGAAATGACAATTTTTTTTGTCTTTCTTTTTATAAATCAGAGTATTATCTTTCTATTATCGAAATATGTATGAGAGGTATGATAAATTAGTTCTATTGGCATTACAATTTTGAGATTTACAATCATGTTTATTTGTATATAATTAGATTTTCTCTTAGATTCCTTATATAGTTCTTACAATCGTATAGAAAAATTTCTTGTGAAACTTTGTGAAATTCTCTCTCTATATTCTTTACATAAAATGTATTTGAGTACCTTTGCCCTTAAGCTTTAATATATAAAATTTCTCTCTTACGTATAGTTATAATTATAATCATATTACTTGTAAATAAGCAATTTTTCTCTTATTCTTTTACGATCGAATCAAGAAAAGATATCAATATTAATTACAACAATAATAGTACAAGCATTTCTAATAATTATAGCATACTATAATATATAATTATTATATTATATTATACCA